GTAACTGCAACAACAGGTGAGGTGTTGTTGCGGCCCTATGCTCCACTGGGAGTTTACGGGAATAAAAATAATAATAATAATAAAAAAACTATTAAAGAGATCATGCTTCATTAACCTGGAAGTTATACACGGAGAAGCTTAGTGATTGGCATTATGTTTAATAACACTTATAATGTTGGATTAGTTTATCATGATAACTTATTTTAACGATGTGTAACCGACCTTACGAGTCCCAGTTGAAGTCCGCTGGTACAAAGTGTATTTTCGTATGATCCCATTTGGATTCAATGGCGGACGCCAGCTAATCAGTATAGCATCTGGTAACATTGGCATGGCTTTGATGTCCGCTGGAGGGCCAGGAACTGTAGAACAGAACAGGTTTATTATTATTATGTGATGTGAATTTTGGTATTAATTTTCAGGGTGTACGTATAATTGTTAAAATAAAAATAAGAATTTTTTTGTGGCTTGGAAATTTCTGAATCCGATTTAAGTTTGTCATCGAGTAGGAATATCTCGATTATCTATTTTAAGAGGTTTATTTTTAAATATTTTAAATAGGCCTTTAGAAACGATGATCACAATAGTGATTGTTTTTACATATATTTACTTATTGTTGGATATGAATTTTATCAACTTAGCTTCAACTTCCGAAGGGAATAAAATGCTATTTTTTTTGTTAACAAAAGAAACGATAGGATATTTAGTATTTTCAATCTGAACAGTATATTACGTGATGCATGTCAGAACTGCAAATATTTGGAGATAGTCATCCCAAATTTAGAGGTAATGGCCCCAAAAAAGCAACCAGTCAGTAGCACCCGCCGCCAAGGAGTCTTGGTTAAGTTTTTGAACCTAATACCAAGATTCACTCTTACTTTTATCGTGCACCCACAGCTGAAATTGTGGAGTGTCTTGAGCGGTGGCATTTTCAGGGCTCGAACCTTGGATCTTCGAATACACAGACCGGCACGCTAACCACTAGACCACGCCTAGCCCACATTATAGATATAGATGCAGCGCTTGTTCCTGGTGTAAAATTCAAAACAAAAACAGCAAAATAAACGTAGAGATTTGTTTGTTTATTTGAATTTTGCACAAATCTAATCACGAGCTATCTGCTCTTGCAGTCCCTAATTTTGAAATTATAGGCTAGAGGGAAAGCAGCTCAACATCACCCACCGTCTACTCTTAGTCTGCTATTTAACAACGAACAGTGAGATTGCCTTCACATTATAACGCTCTCACATGGTAAAAGGTCAAGTATGTTCGGTGACGGTTTCAGATTCCGCGATTTTCAGATTGTGAGTTTAGTGCCCTAACCACCAGGTTATGCCGTACCTCACTTATAGTGTGCAAAGGTATTACGCGTTAATTATTGCCATTAACATCTGAAGCAACTACACATCAGGTTAGCTATTCAAAAACGTAATATGATAATCCTATAATTAATTGTATCAGTGACAAAATAAATGAAAAAACCTAAAAGTTAGTCACTAAGCGAGGATATTCTTAATAATGTTAGTCGGTTCAAAGCTGTTCTACCACAAATTATTATAATGTTGTTGTTTTTCTCTTTAAATCTTAGTAGAAGGTAACATGTTTAAAAATACCTTTAGAACAACATTTTAAACAATCATGATCTAAAAACAACACGTGGATACCTTTAGAACAACATCTTAAACAACCATGATCTAAAAAACGACACGTGGATACCTTTAGAACAACATCTTAAACAATCATGATCTCAAAACGACACGTGGATACCTTTAGAACAACATCTTAAAAAACCATGGTCTAAAAACGATACGTGGATACCTTTAGAACAACATCTTAAACAACCATGATCTAAAAACGACGCGTGGATGGATACCTTTAGAACATCTTAAACAACCATGATCTAAAAACGACGCGTGGATACCTTTAGAACAACATCTTAAACAACCATGATCTAAAAACGACACGTGGCTACTTTTAGAACAACATCTTAAAAAACCATGGTCTAAAAAGGATACGTGGATACCTTTAGAACAACATCTTAAACAACCATGATCTAAAAACGACGCGTGGATGGATACCTTTAGAACATCTTAAACAACCATGATCTAAAAACGACGCGTGGATACCTTTAGAACAACATCTTAAAAAACCATGGTCTAAAAACGATACGTGGATACCTTTAGAACAACATCTTAAACAACCATGATCTAAAAACGACGCGTGTATGGATACCTTTAGAACATCTTAAACAACCATGATCTAAAAACGACACGTGGCTACTTTTAGAACAACATCTTGAAAAACCATGATCTAAAAACGACACGTGGCTACTTTTAGAACAACATCTTGAAAAACCATGGTCTAAAAACGATACGTGGATACCTTTAGAACAACATCTTAAACAACCATGATCTAAAAACGACGCGTGGATGGATACCTTTAGAACATCTTAAACAACCATGATCTAAAAACGACACGTGGCTACCTTTAGAACAACATCTTAAAAAACCATGATATAAAAACGACACGTGGCTCCTACCATCTTCTAAAGTTGTACATAAAATCGGCTCGCTAGGTTTGCCATTTCCTTGTCTTGTGAAAGCTAAGATAGTGATGGAGTAATTACAGAATTTCTCCAGTTTATGTAAAATGCCTGATGCTTTGTCTCCACCAACGGTTATTTCATTAGTCTGAGGGCCTAAGAGAAGAAACCAAAACAAATAATTAGTAAAAGTATAGAAAATTTGTTTATTTTTGTTCAAGCGCAAAACTACATTATGCGATGTGCCCACTATGGGCATTGAGAATTGATTTTTAGAGTTATAAGTCATAAGCTTATCGCTAAACCATCGGTGGACAACTATAAAAGAAATAAAATATTTTAATCAATCAGAAAATAACAATTAAAAATTAGATATTCAAAGATTTGATTTAAGAAATTCGATTTGATTTTTTTACCAACATCGCACAAGCACTCGTGGAACACTGAACATTGTTTGTTTGTTTTGAATTTCGCGCAAAGCTACACGAGGGCTATCTGCACTAGCCATCCCTAATTTAGCAGTGTAAGACTAGAGGGAAGGCAGCTAGTCATCAGCCAACTCTTGGGCTACTCTTTTACCAACGAATAGTGGGATTGACCGTCACATTATAACGCCTGAAAGGGCGAGAATGTTTGGTGTGACAGGGATTCGAACCCGCGACCCTCAGATTGCGAGTCGGGTGCCTTAACCACCTGGCCATGCCGGGTTCCTACACTGAACATCTCTCATTATGGACTACTTAACTTCATGGAACGAACAGATTTTTCTTTGTAGTCCACTTTTTTCTGTGTATTTAAAACATATCGACTGTTCGGTAATAAACAAGTAATCAGATGAAAATTTGGAAAAATAATCTGTTTAAGATGCTTTCCTTTAAAAAATCTCGTTCCTTCAAAATATTTGACATATGGGTCAAATGACCAGGTCGGAGGCCAAAGCATAGTCTTCCCTACTTTAGAACTGTTTAGGAGGACAAAAAAGGACAGCCAATCAGCAGCACCCGCCGCATATATGACTTCTCATAAGCAAATAACAGGATTGACTGTCACTTTTATAACAGCCTACTACCGTTGAAAGTGCGGAGTGTATTCAGGGCTCGAACCTTGGACCTTTCGATCCGCAGCCTGACACGTTAGCTACTAAGCCACATCTGACTCAATTTAATTACTAAAACACGTTGTAGACGTAAACCAATCATCTTTGTTTGCTGTCCCTCAATTCAACTCACATTATGATAACAGTAGAAATATAATCATATACAGAGACGTCAATTACGAAGCTCCCCAATCGGCTGTAAATATAAATCTATTACTCGTTATCTTAATGTGTATACTCGTAGCGAGCTCACAATTTTCGTTGTTTATAAAACCCTGAAAGTTCAAAACAGAAAACCAGTAATTATAGTTTATTCAAAATCATGATGTAAACTCGCAATGTTATAAAAAAACGTACACATCACAATAACATGTTCTCACTAATCGTAGGTCGTGTGTTACAAACTTTTCTTCGGTACTTGTAGGTTGTGTGGTACAAACTTTTCTTCAGTACTTGTAGATTGTGTGGTACAAACTTTTCAGTAATTGTAGGTTGTGTGGTACAAACTTCTCAGTTACTGTAGGATGTATGTTATAAACTTCTCAGTAATTGTAGGTTGTGTGTTACAAACTTCTCAGTACTTGTAGGTTGTGTTTACAAACTTTTCTTCAGTACTTGTAGGTTGTGTGGTAAAATCTTCTCAGTAATTGTAGGTTGTGTGGTACAAACTTCTCAGTACTTGTAGGTTGTGTGTTACAAACTTCTCAGTAATTGTAAGTTTTGTTTTACAAACTTGTCAGTACTTGTAAGTTGTGTGTTACAAACTTATCAATAACTGTAGGTTGTATGTTACAAACTTCTCAGTAACTGTAGGATGTATGTTACAAACTTCTCAGTAACTGTAGGATGTATGTTACAAACTTCTCAGTAATTGTAGGTTGTGTGGTACAAACTTCTCAGTAATTGTAGGTTGTGTGGTACAAACTTTTCAGTAATTGTAGGTTGTATGTTACAGACTTCTCAGTAATTGTAGGTTGTGTGGTACAAACTTCTCAGTAATTGTAGGTTGTGTGGTACAAACTTTTCAGTAATTGTAGGTTGTATGTTACAAACTTCTCAGTAATTGTAGGTTGTGTGTTACAAATTTCTCAGTAATTGTAGGTTGTGTGGTACAAACTTCTCTGTAATTGTAGGTTGTATGTTACAAATTTCTCAGTAACTGTAGGATGTATGTTACAAACTTCTCAGTAATTGTAGGTTGTGTGTTACAAACTTCTCAGTACTTGTAGGTTGTATGTTACAAACTTCTCAATAATTGTAGGTTGTATGTTACAAACTTCTCAGTAACTGTAGGTTTTGTTTTACAAAGTTGTCAGTATTTGCAATTTGTACGTTAAAAACTTCTCAGTAATTACAGATTTAGTATTACAAACAGAAAAATCTCAAAATAAGTTTGTTGTTGACGTAATTTGAAGAATCATTACTTACCAGTAAAATCGTCATTACGAACAAAAATTATTTTGTAACCTTTTAAAACACCGTTAAGTGACTCAAGTGGTGGTGTTTGCCACGTGACCTTCATGCTCTGTGACGTCATCGGAATACAAGCAGATTGTTGAGGTGGAGAACTGGGAACTAGAAATGGAGTTATTTGTTAAACAAGGACACTTAAAATCCTGCATAAATTATTGTACGTAAATTTATTGATAGCAATGGTTCTAATGTAGCTTATAAATTATACTTGTCTCCTACAAAGTCTAAACTTTTACAGGAAATTCTGAAGTAAAATTTTTACATTTTAAAGCTAACAAAATATAATTAACAAACCAATATTTTACGTGATGGACATAATAAAGGCAGTTATCAACGAAATATAAATATTTTTTGTACCAACATTTTTGAAAGAGTCCTGGTAAAAAAACAAACAAACTAAGTTTAATTGATTAATTTCTAAAAGTTAACCTTAATAACATCAGAACAATCAGAGGACTATTATGTTTGAATTAACATGTTTATAAACGTATTAAAACTATATTGCCATCTGGTGACAAAGAAGTTCAACGTAACTTATTTGAAACATAATTTTAAGAATATATTAATTTATAATTTTTGACAGCCCAGTCGATGAAATAAATATAAACAAGGCCATATTACTCTTTGTTGAAATATACAACTAAAATGAGTACAACATTAAAATAATTGCACAATAAGTAATTTATAGAAAACAGGGTTTGTTTGTAATTAAGCACAAAGCTACATAATGGGCTATCTGTGCTCTGCCCATCACGGGTATCGAAAGCCGGATTCTAGTGTTGGAAGTCCGCAGACATACCGCTGTGCCACTGGGGGGGGGGGGGGGCTTTTTCTCTGCTCACTACGGGTATCGGAACCCGGTTTCTGGCGTTTTAAGTCCGCAAACTTACCGTTGCGCCACTGGGGGGCAAAAAACAGGGACCATCCCTAAAAAGACTACATGTTTCGGTTTTCTTACGCCATCATCTCTTTGGGGCTAGTTCCTGTTTTAATAAATTGTTTATTGTGCAGTTATTTTATCGTTGTACTCCTTTTAATTGTATATATATATATATATATATATAATACATACATACATACACACACACACATATATATATATATATATATA